GTTGCTCTTCCAGTGGCTCGCTCACTGCCAGCCTCATTGTTTAGCTGTTGAAAATGCCACCGGGTGGGAGGGAGATGAACGCTTAGAGTGAGGTTTGCAGGCTCCATGGAGCAAGGAGAGTTGTTTTGAACAGAAAGAAGAACATTTAAAGAGCAGCAAGCTTTAATGTGAACATGAAAGGATTTTTGAGAATAGTCACATATTATTTGCACTAGCTGTTTACATCAGCTTGCTAACATTGTCTTTGCTAAATTTGTTGCATTTAGTTGTTATATTTTATATTTTGTACTGTTTTCTTTAAACTTGAATAAATTATAAAGCAGTTAGTTTTAATCCTTACATCCAAGTACATGTACTAAGTGATTATCATGTTGAAATTGGCAGAAGTCAAATATCTTTACCAAAACAAAGAGTAATATTGTGTTTATGACATATTAATAACCTAAAAACTCTCTTTAATAAGAATGTAAAACTGTTTTGAAAGAACAGAAATGTCTGTTACATTATTGAATAAAAGTGGCATTCCTTGAATAATTGTACATTATTCTCTGCCTTGCGTGCCAAGGTTTCATACAAAGATGTTACATAAGCTGTTGGTGCTCAGAGTATGAGTTAATGATGACTCTCAGTTACTCCCACACCCAGTTTTAGTTTAATGTTGGTAAATAAAAATAACTGAGTCGTGGCCACTTTTGTGTTGGTTGAAGTCAATCAGGTGTGGTGGCAATTTTAATCTGGAATGACTATAAAAGTGAATCATTTGTAGATGTAAATCCAAGAGTTATTTATTTGAGTTTCACTGAAATATAGCCAGTGGTTCATAAGATATTTTACTAACAAACAAACAGATGTACAAAGTTGCATGCCTTTTTTGGAGGTAAACAAAAATGAAGATTTAGAAGAATTACAGGATATACATTGTAGCTCTTTGGTCAGCAGCTTATTTCTAGCTTCAGTTTTCACTTGCTTTACTCTACCTGTTTGTTTTTGTAATTATTTCTATCTGTAACATGTGTGTGTGTGTGTGTGTGTGTGTGTGTGTGTGTGTGTGTGTGTGTGGTGGTGGTGGGGGGGTGTTTGTTTGTTTATTTATCCTCAATAAAAAGTAGCCCCTCGTTTATCGCAAGGGATCCGTAAACCTGAAGCCCCACGATAAGTGAAAAACCGCAAAGTAGGAATAGTACAAGTAGTAAGTAGCAGTTTATTTTAGTATATACAGTATATATATATATATATATATATAT